CCCCAAAACCCCAAAACCCCAAAACCCCAAAACCCCGTAAAAATGTTTTAAATTGATAGAATTTTTGAATCTGAACTATGGAGTCAGCTAAGAAACCAACAAAGAGTGCAGATAGGAGCAGAACCTATTTACGCCATAAGGCCACCATTCTTGAAACAGAAGATGACATTTTCTGCGTGAAGTACTCCCCTGACGGAGAGTACATAGCCTTTGCTTGAGGGGATGGATACGTCCGGATCCTGAGCAGGAGAACCACCAAAGTTAAGGAACTTATAGCTGACCCTAAGAAAGATCCGTTTAATCAGATGCCGATTACATGAATCAGGTGGAGAGAAGATAGCAAAATATTGACAACTTCTTCAGCAGATGGATTTATCTATTTTTGGCATGTAAAGTCAGGGAAACTCCTCTTCAAAATCGCTGAAGAGGAGAACCAGACTTATTGCCTTGATTATGACCGCAGCTTTGAGTACCTTGCCACTGCGGGCAAGGATCACAAAGTAAGGCTCTATGATAATGAGTCATTATCCCTCTTGTCAACGATGGAGCGAGGAGGTTCGAAATATTCTGGACACTCTAACAGAATATTTGCACTGAAATTTCATCAAATTAACAGCAACTTGCTTCTGTCAGGCGGTTGGGATAATGTAGTTTATGGCTGGGATATTAGACAAAACACACCTTCCCATCATATCTCAGGCCCCAACATCTCCGGTGAATCCATTGACGTGATTGGCAACAATCTACTTGCAGGAAGTTTTACAGATACAAGTAATCTGTGAATTTACGACCTGCGGAAACTTAAGGATCCGTTGAACCTTTCATGGTTCTGAGAAAATGAAAAAGTTCCAGAAGGAATTGTCCCATCTTGTGTGTATACAGCAATGTTCCTAAAATCTGACCCTGAATATATTCTAGCAGGAGGGGCTAACAAGAATGAACTGAGGCTTTTCCGTTCTGAGAAGCCAATCTCTAAGATCACTATGCTCGAGACCCCATGATTAAGTGTTGATTGCCATCCTGAGGGAGATGAGTTCTCCTTTGGATGCTCTGATGGCGGCTTACACATTATTGGCCTCAACACTAAATAATTTTGCATATGTAATTAATTTCTAAGTTAGCACGAAATAAATGAATGAGAATTTATGCGTAAAATTTCAAATTTCTTGTTAATTCCAAGTTAACACAGAATTAAATGCCAAAGATTCTAACAGAAAATATGCAAAGTTTAGAAAAATTATTACTTTTTGGATTAAGATTTGCTAAAACTACTAAGGAATACTTGGATAAAACAATTTTTAATCGAGAATTGCACACACTTTCCAAAGTCTCTTTTAAAACACTTGTGCAACAACTTAATGGTCAATCTTTGATAAAAAATGGGCTCTGTTCCTTCTAAAAATTCTAAAATTTCTGTGTAACATACAAATATCCAAATTTTCATTGACCACATTATGAGTCTTACTTGAAGAGCCTGTTTGCTAGCAACTTTGTAGATTTTTGCCTGAAATTTTGGTCGTAAAATTGTGAAATTTCCCCTTTAATATAATCTCGTTATTTGAGGAGAAACTTGGGGTTTTGGGGTTTTGGGGTTTTGGGGTTTTGGGG